TGCTTAGTTTACATGTATTAGTTTGTGATTAGGTCAGTTTATGGGGAACCACTAGTGGTAGGTTAATGATATTTGGTATGCAGTTGTATTAATTAGCATTGGTACATCTTATTTCCATGGAGATTATTTGACCCTGTACCTTCAGTCATGGTTCATTGACTTTGAATATTTTGCATAACTTATATGTTAAAGAAATACTAATTTTTTTCAACATTTGCATTTTACTATCAAAATAACATCTCTGTGTTAACAGTTTAATTACTATATCTCCACTCACAATTGGTTTTATAATTTATATAATGAACTTCAATTAAAAAAAACATTATTGTAAATTACCATTGTCAATTACCAGAGGTAAAAGTGATTCACCATTTCAAAATTCCTCCACATATTTCCTATAAAAGCACATTTAAAAAAAATGTCAAAAACTTATTTCAGATCAGATTTTGATGCAACCTTTACTGTTAATTTCATTAACATGATTAATGTATACAGTTTTTGTCGAGCCTGCGAAATTTATTTTGCAAAAGCGAGACATAGCGATCCTAGATTCTTTCGGCATTAGCGGTGGCATCAACATTTAGGTTCAGTCTGTGGTTAAAGTTTTTTTAAACTTTGATAACTTTGTCAAACCTACATGGAATTTTATGAAATTTGGACAGAAACCTGTTTATGACCAAAATATAGTATCCATAGCAATATTTTTTAAATATTTATTTTCATTTTTCCGTACTTTTTTAATAAATTGACTTGGTTTTTTTATACGCCCGTCAAAATTTTGACAGGACGTATTATGGTATACAAATGTCGTCTTTCCGTCTGTTTGTCCGGCGTAAACATGTCGCACTGTAACTTGAGAACGACTTATCCAAATTTCATGAAACTTAACTTAGTTGTTTTTTATGATGGTCAAACGATCTGTATACTTTTTGGTGAAAATAAGATAAAAACTTTTTGAGTTACAGGACTTAGTAACTAAAACAGGTGTGTGGTTTTTTTATACAACCGCAAAAATTTTTGCGGTCGTATATTGGTATGACGTTGGCGTCGTCGTTGTCGGCGTCGTCCGAAGACACATTGGTTTTCGCACTCTAACTTTAGTTTAAGTAAATGGATCTCTATGAAATTTTACCATAAGGTTCAATACCACAAAAGGAAGGTTGGGATTGATTTTGGGGGTTATGGTACCAACAGTTAAGGAATTAGGGGCCAAAAAGGGGCCAAAAATAAGCATTTTTGTAACTTCCAGACTTAACTTGTGTGTTAGTGTATGGATCTCTCTGACATTGTACCACAAGGTTCCATATCACAAAGGGAATGCTTGGATTGATTTTGGGGGTAATTGCCTCAAAATATTAGGAATTAGGGGCCAAAAAAGGGGCAAAAAACAAGCATTTTTCTAGTTTCATGACAATAACTTGTGTGAAAGTGTATGAATCTTTCTGAAATTGTACTACAAGGTTCCATATCACAAAGGGAAAGCTGGAATTGAGTTTTGGGGTAATTGCCCGAAACGTTTAGGAAGAAGGGGCCAAAAAGGGGCCAAAAATAAGCATTTTTCTAGTTTCCAGACAATAACTTGTGATCAAGTGTATGGATCTCTCTGAAATTGTACCACAAGGTTCCATATCACACAGGGAATGCTGGGATTGATTTTGTGGGGTAATTGCCTCAAAATTTTAGGAATTAGGGGCCAAAAAAGGGGCAAAAAACAAGCATTTTTCTAGTTTCATGACAATAACTTGTGTGTAAGTGTTTGGATATTTCTGAAATTGTACTACAAGGTTCCATATCACAAAGGGAAAGCTGGAATTGAGTTTGGGGTTATTGCCCGAAACGTTTAGGAATTGGGGGCCAAAAAGGGGCCAAAAAACACATTTTTCTAGTTTCCAGACAATAACTTGTGTTCAAGTGTATGGATCTCTCTGAAATTGTACTGCAAGGTACCATACCACAAAGGGAAGGCTGGGATTGAGTTTGGGGGTGATGAATCATAAGGGGGTTCAAAAAATTCGGGGGGGGATTTTTTTTTTCCTTTTTTTTCTTTTTTTCCTTTTTTTTTCTTTTAAAATTTTCCATTTTAAGTTGGTTATTTCTGATTTATATTTAAAAGCAAATAATAATGATATGGTAGGAGATACACACCAAACAGGATGTGTAAATTATTATATAATAAGTATTGTGCAATAGCAAGAAATTTTCAATTGCACAGTATTGCACAATAGCAAGAAATCTTCAATTGCACAGTATTGCGCAATAGCAAGAAATCTTCAATTGCACAGTATTGCGCAATAGCAAGAAATATCCAATAGCACAAATTGCGCAATAGCAAGAAATTGTCAATTGTGCAGTATTGCGCAATAGCAAGAAATATTCAATTGCACAGTATTGTGCAAAAGAAGATACTTCGTATAAATTGCTTATTTCTTGACCAATTTCAATGGGGTTTTATTCTTGAATTCTTGGGGTTCTTTAATATGCTGAATCTAACCGTGTATTAATTTTTTGGATTTTGGGCCCCGTTTTTAAATTGGTCCACATTGAGGTCCAAAGGGTCCAAAATTAAACTTTGTTTGATTTCATCAAAAATTGAATTATTGGGGTTCTTTGATATGCCGAATCTAACCGTGTATTTAGATTCTTAATTTTTGGTTCCGTTTTCAAATTGGTCTACATTAAGGTCCAAAGGGTCCAAAATTTAACTAAGTTTGATTTTAACAAAAATTGAATTCTTAGGGTTCTTTGATATGCTGAATCTAAACATGTATTTAGATTTTTAATTATGGGCCCAGTTTTCAAGTTGGTCCAAATCGGGGTCCAAAATTAAACTTTTTTTTGTTTGATTTCAACAAAAATTGAATATATGGGGTTCTTTGATATGCTGAATCTAACCATGCATTTAGATTTTTGATTTTTGGGCCCCGTTATCAACTTTGTCCACATTGAGGTCAAAAGGGTCCAAAATTAAACTTTGTTTGATTTCATCAAAAATTGAATTCTTGGGGTTCTTTGATATGCTGAATCTAACCATGTATTTAGATTTTGGATATTGGACCATAATAGGTGAATGTCCAATTTAAAATTTTTAAGTTCTAAGACCACATTCATTCTGTGTCAGAAACCTATGCTGTGTCAAATATTTAATCACAATCCAAATTCAGAGCTGTATCAAGCTTGAATGTTGTGTCCATACTTGCCCCAACTGTTCAGGGTTCGACCTCTGCGGTCGTATCAAGCTGCGCCCTGCGGAGCATTTTATTTTCACATGTAGCGCTGTATCTCAAAAACAATTTATGATTATAGCTTAAAACTTTACACACTTTTTAGTTATATTAATCTTAAGATCTGTATACTTTTTGGTGATGATTCAAAATTTTATTTTAGAGATATTGAGTATTTTGTTAAAAAAGGGGGAGGGGTTTTTCACATGTCGCGCTGTATCTCAAAAACAGTTTATGATTATTGCTTAAAACTTTACACACTTCTTAGTTATATTAATCTTAAGATCTGTATACTTTTTGGTGATGATTCAAAATTTTATTTTTGAGTTTTTTATTGAGTATTTTGTAAAAAAAGGGGGAGGGTTTTTCACATGTCGCGCCGTATCTCAAAAACGATTTATGATTATTGCTTAAAATTTTACACACTTCTTAGTTATATTAATCTAAAGATCTGTATACTTTTTGGTTTTCGCATGTCAGGCCGTATGTCAGAAACTATTTATGAATATTGCATAAAAATTCAGACACAAGACGACGGGCGTATCATGCGCTCATGGCGCAGCTGTTTATTTACAGTTGATATTCAGATTTAGTCTGAGGTTAAAAGTTTTTCAGTCATCAATAACTTTGTCAAACCTTCATGGAATTTTATGAAATTTGGACAGAAGCTTAATTGTTTATGAAAGTATCCGGAGTGAAATTTTGAAAATATTTGTTTTCTGTTTTCCGTATTTTACTGATAAATTGACTTACTTTTTTTTTTTTTACAGCTAACATTCAGATTAATCTGAGGTTTTAAAGTTTTTCAGTCATTAATTACTTTGTCACACCTTCATGGAAATTTATGAAATTTAAACAGAAGCTTGTTTATGACCAAATTGTACAGTATCCAGAGCAAAATTTTGAAAATATTTATTTTCATATTTCCGTAATTTACTGACAAATGGACTTAGTTTTTTTTTACAGTTATCAAGTAGATACAGTCTGGGGTTAAAGTTTATTACACATCAGTTATTTTGTCAAACCTTCATGGAGTTTTATGAAACTTTGGCAGAAGTATTTTAGTGATTAAAAGATAATGTCTGAAGCAAACCTTTGAAAATATATTTTTTTTCATTTTAGTATTCTTCTGATAGATGGACTAAGTTTTTTACAGTTAACATTTACAGTCTGCAGGGATTAAATTTTTTTGACATGATTAATTTGTAAACCTTTAATGGGTTGTTATAAAAATCGGACAGATGCTAATCTTCAAGACCATGAAATAGCATCCAAAGTAAAAGCTTGATTTTTTTTGAATTCTGTATTTTACTGATAAATAGTCTTACTTTTTAAGTCAAAATAACAATTTTACACTTGACAGCAATAATTGTAGGCGAGACACAGGGTTCCGTGGAACCCCTTACAAATTTTTTTATGATTATCATGAAATCATTATTCAATATTGTTATACAAATATTGAACATGTTGAAGTAAAGTGTCATTTTTTCCCTGGCCAATATAGCCATATATTTGTTTATGCAAAAATTCATATTTGTCTTAAAACAGTTATTTCTTTTGATTTACAAATCATACAAATATATCATAATTCATGCAAGAGGCTACAAACATTTCTGTATTCAATGGTTAAAAATTCTTTCAAATTGGGCAAGAAATTACTTAAGTATATTCATGTAGATTTTTTTTAAAATGTGTTATTATATGAAATATAAAGCAGAATTTTCAAGTTGTGAAACACTTTTGAACCCCTACTGTGCACATTTTGTAAATTTTTTTCAGGTTTTGTGGTTGGGCAAGCAGGAATACTTGAAATCATGCTACAGCTTATATTGGCTTACTTTATTCTTATGATGACAGTCCTGTCAATCTGTGCAATATCGACCAATGGGGCAGTTGAAGGAGGAGGAGCCTATTGTATCCTTGACAGCAGATGTTTACAATTTTGTAGCAAGATTTAAGAGCATATAAAATGCTAAATTAAACTTGCTTATGAATTTAAATGTAGAATAACATACATCTTAATTTCAAAAAACTTTGATAATGAACTCTGACTTGCAAAAGCTATAAATTGCATTCGTATTTTGAATTCCATCATCATTACTTTATTTTGAAAATCAACAAAACTGTTTAATATTATGTAGTTTGTTCAATGTATGAGCTGAACAAAAGGAGAGTTAGTCAAATTTCATTTATTTATTAGCAATAAATTCACTTTTTTGCCCTTTACCAACTTGAATTATAAATAGATTTATGTAGTATATTTTTTTTGATAGATATTTATCGTTTTTTTACATTATATTTTTTGGTGTGTTTTTATTCTTTAGGTGAAAATAAATATTTTTAATAGCTGTTTTTGCTACATGATCATTTAAAAACTTGAAGTAAATTTCCATATTAGATAGAAATTGTAAAATCAGCAAAATAGTGAATTTCATGTAGTAGATACAGAACAAAGGTAACAAAAAAACAGGCTGGTAACAACCGTTACCGTATAGTTTTTATACGACCGCAAAAAACATTTTGCGGTCGTATATTGGTATGACGTTGTTGTTGTTGTTGTCGTCGTCATCGTCCTAAGACACATTGGTTTTAGCACTCTAACTTTAGTTTAAGTGAATGGATCTCTATGAAATTTTACCATAAGGTTCAATACCACAGAAGAAAGGTTGGGATTGATTTTGGGGGTTAGGGTACTAACAGTTAAGGAATTAGGGGCCACAAATGGGCCAAAAATAAGCATTTTTGTAACTTCCAGACATAACTTGTGTGTTATAGTGTATGGATCTCTCTGACATTGTACCACAAGGTTCCATATCACAAAGGGAATGCTGGGATTGATTTTGGGGGTAATTGCCTCAAAATTGTAGGAATTAGGGGCCAAAAAAGGGGGGAAAAAACAAGCATTTTTCTAGTTTCATGACAATAACTTGTGTGTAAGTGTATGGATCTTTCTGAAATTGTACTACAAGGTTCCATATCACAAAGGGAAAGCTGGAATTGAGTTTGGGGGTAATTGCCCAAAACGTTTAGGAATAAGGGGCCAAAAGGGGCCAAAAATAAGCATTTTTCTAGTTTCAAGACAATAACTTGTGTTCAAGTGTATGAATCTCTCTGAAATTGTACTACAAGGTACCATACCACAAAGGGAAGGCTGGGATTAATTTTGGGGGTAATTGCCTCAAAATTGTAGGAATAAGGGGCCAAAAAGGGGCAAAAAAACAAGCATTTTTCTAGTTTCAGGACAATAACTTGTGTTCAAGTGTATGGATCTCTCTGAAATTGTACTGCAAGGTACCATACCATAAAGGGAAGGCTGGGATTGAGTTTGGAGGTGATGAATCATAAGGGGATTCAAAAAATTAGGGGGGGGATTTTTTTTTCCCTTTTTTTCCTTTTTTATTCTTTAAAATTTTCCATTTATATATAAAATCAAATAATAATGATATTTTTTGAATAGGTAAATTAAAAAATTTTAAGTTCTTAATTAGACCACAATCATTCTGTGTCAGAAACCTATGCTGTGTCAAATATTTAATCACAATCCAAATTCAGTGCTGTATCAAGCTTGAATGTTGTGTCCATTCTTGCTCCAACTGTTCAGGGTTCGACCTCTGCGGTCGTATCAAGCTGCGCCCAGCGGAGCATTTTATTCTACAAGTGTAGTCATGTCATTGAGTCTGAGGCGATAGCCAACAACCTTGATCTGACTTCAAGTGCAGAAAAACTAGAATTGTGCTATTAAGAACTACCATGTTTGTCTATAACAGAATGAGAATGTACTTTCCTGAATAAACAAACTTGCCAATAAAAAATCCCAGTCTGCATCATAGAATAAAAATATTCAAAAATGGTATGATAAAACACAAATAGATTGGCTGGGAAGTGAATAGTCATAGTATTTTAAGCAGCAAATCACCTGGACCAAAGGATTTTAACCAAATTGTTTAGTATTTTTGCTGAAACTATGATAAATAGAAAATTTAAATGGCATGTTTAAACATGCATTAGTATGCATTAAACAGCAAAAATAATCATCGATGGAATTTTTTCACATAAAGTTCTAGGTAAGCCTCTTGTTTTTAGAGCAGATTGATGATCTATTTCCCTGTTTTAACATCCTGAAATTTTTACAAGCAAACAAACTAAATTTCTTTCAAGATTCCTCTGGGTACATGTATATAAATTGGTTCTAGTTTTTATAAAGGAAGGGTAAGACTCAACTGTTAGGGGTGTCTATTTGGCCTTTAGCAATCCTCTGAAACACCTGCAGGAATTTCTGCTCTTAATTATAAACTGCCAGGTTAAGCAACTGTATGCTAACATCCCTTAACAAAGCACAGATATGATAAGCAGGGCTTTAGGGCCAGAATTTGGTGGCAGCATTGGATTTTTATTTTTTGTAGCCAATATTTTAGCCTGTGGACTCTATGTTACAGGCTTCGTTGAAGCTGTTTTGGACAGTTTTGGTCCCAAAGGAAGCATGATATCAGATGGCGGGGCCTATTTACCCTTAGATGACAAGGAATGGTATAAGTACCTGTATTCATCTGTAGTCCTATTTTTCTGTTTGGCCATCTGTATGATAGGAGGAAGCATGTTTGCTAAAACTTTGATTGTTATTTTTATGGTAAGTGACTTGTTTGTCATTGTGAATAAAATGTAACATATGTGTAAGGTGGATTAAAGTTTTATGAGAGAGTAATCAAACAATATAAGCAAACTAAAATAAACATTGGAGATCAATATTCAATCTTGAATTTGGTATTAGCCCTAAAAGAAAGTGTAGATAAGCAGTTAATTAATGGAAAATGACAAATCAAATATACTGCATTTCAAAATTATCGACAGCTCACTGTGCCAACTCTGTGCATTGGAGCTTACTTACGATCCTATGCATTGGGGCTTACTGAGCCAACCCTATGCTGACCCTATGGATTGGGGCTCACTATATATGCCAACCCTATGCATTGGAAAGGCCATTTCCTTCTCTCATCATAATGCCTTCAAGTGGAAATAATTAAAAACATGTTATCTGTAGTGTAATGTGGATTCATCGTTATTCGTGGGATAGAAATATTCCTGGATTTAGGGGGTATACTGTAAGTTAACTACTAAATAGATTCAACTATTCAACAAATACAAGTTTACAGTACGCTTCAATTAAAAAAAAGCATGAATTCAAGTATCCACATTTATACATATTTTTTTTAATTCATGAAAATTGGTACCCATGAAAATAAAGGAATCCACATTATCTGATATCCACAGCAAATTGTTGTGAGACAAAATTACCATAGCAGCAACAACAATATCTGATAAGTTTTCAAATTCTATGATTTTTTCCTAAAAAGAAAGAAGTGTTTGTACATATAGTTAATATTCTTTAACCAGTATGAACAACATTTGTACATTGTCAAGTAATTTGTGTGAGCTTAAAAAAAAAGGTGGATAATGAAGATTGCAAAGTTTTTATCCCCTTTTCTTTTTGAATACAAAGAAATGGTAAGACCCTGTTTGTGAAACTATGCAGCATCAAGAACTAAAAGATGTTTATTTCAAAATGTTTATGACTTTTTTCTCAAAAGCAGTTGCATATAAAAACGGCATGTATCGGAATCCCGATTTGATCATATTGGTCAATATGAAAATTACGGAGATGTTGTATGATCATTGAAATTGAGTCAAAAAGACCAACGGACTCATATATATTAATGTTAGTAGTTACAGGCCTAGGGTGCTGTACATATTAATGTTAGTAACAGGCCTAGGGTACTGTATAGTCTTTAACAATGAACAAAACCATAACCTTTAGTAAGCTATAAAAGTCCCCAGGATAAAAAAAATGGGAAATAATTCTAAAGTGAAAACCAATAGCCTGATTTATTTCTATAACAATTACTTATTTCTATAACAATTAACTAAAAGCAAAAATTGACAGTCAGCAGCCGTTAGGACAACCAGTGGGTTACAGTTCCTGGCTTGGGAAAGGCACATGAAGAAGTTTTGTTTTTTATTTTCCAGATTACTGTGATATGTACACTATCAGTATACATCAGTATATTTGCAAAGAGTGACAAAAAGTTGATACAGAACCCTAGGATTGACATGTTGGACAAGAGGAATGAATCATGTGCTAACCACACCTTCTACACTGGTCTCTCAGGAACCACGTTCAAAGATAATTTGTATGGTTTGTATATAAATCAATAGGAAGTACTTTGGATTTATTTATTTTCAAGGATTAAGGAAAACTTGTATTTTAAGTTTTTAAGTGGATATTTATTTTTTGTTTGCATATTCAAGCCAATAGAAAATATGTACTTCTTTGAACTTTAGATGTGTGGTTTACCCATACAGAACTAACGAAATCCAGGGAAATTGGTATCTAATGAATAATAATGCATTCACAGTACATGGAATGAATCAATATACATTAATTTTGTTTTGTAGTACATAGATTATGACTCAAGTTAAAAAAATCATTAAGGTGATGAATTAAATTTCCTCCCTGAATGCTGCTAATTGTGGGTAATTCACTCTGAATTCTCCTCCTGTATATATTCATTAGGTAATATTTGACAGGGGGTTAAGAAATGAGAGTGTTTTCACCTTTAATCACTAGTTAGTCACCCTGTTTCACTGTGAATCACTTAACACAAGCAAGAGGGAATTATTTACTGAATAATCTTATGTGTACTGAATGAGACGAGAATGCAAAAAAATATCAAAAGAAATAAGAAGATGTGGTATGAGTGCCAATGAGACAACTCTCCATCCAAGTCAAAGTACGGATACTATAAACCAACTAATTTTAGTGATTGATTCATTTTTGTGACTTGCAAGTAGAGAAAAAAAAGGTGAATAATAATCATCAATGATGCAAAAAAAAGCATCTTTTCTTATAAGAATACACAAGCAAAGTTAGGAAAATCGCAAAAATAAATTGTTACAAAATCGGCAAGACATGACGTTAAGGCAAAATTAAAGTATTTATGAAAATAAGTTGTTTTAAGGCATTACATCATTTTAAACTTGTCAGGTTAAAGACTTTTTTGCACTGACTGGATGCTAATCTATCATCAATCAAGTGGGCCATTTTGATCGCTTAGGATCCATCTTTCATCTTTTGTCAAATTTAAAACAACAAAAAAACAGACCACCAGGCAAATTGAAACCATTCCTGAGTGCATGTTGTTGTTTAATATTTCGAATACAACACTTGGTAGAATAAAACTAATGTGGGTTAAAGTCAAGTCAGGTGCTGATTCAGGCAAGACCTCCCTCCCCCTTCCCCCCTAAAAAATAAAAACATGTTATTTATAGGTAAAATTTCATCCAATTTTTTGTCAAAAATATAGTCCTTGTACTTGTAATTCTCAGGGGAGTCCCATGACATCAAATCCGTGTTTACCGCCTGCATGTCCTACCTCCTTTCATAATTTTTTTGTCGAATGTTTTATTTCAACAATCTTTTTATACTTTTATAACTTATTAATGTATTGAATATGGGTGTAGATGGCAGAATTTTGTTTTAAAACAAGCCATTTTATTTCCTGTTTTCTGAGATTATACCTCTCCCCTTTTACTACCCTCTTAAATAATAATTACATTTTTTTTGCAGAAAAGTATGGTAAAGACTACATAACACATGACAAGATGGATTTTGCCACAGTATTTTCTATTTTGTTCAGCAGTGTTACTGGTATCCTAAATGGAGCTAACATGTCAGGTTAGTGATCATAAGATCTGTTAAGTACTAGCAAATTTATAAGCTTGAATCATTATGAATAAGGAAAGATGTAGCGTAGAACAGCAACAGTGAACAGCAATCCAACAACAAAATTTGGTAAAAGATAGGCATCTGCTATATGTTACCCATGTACATGATGTAACATAAATAGAAAAAAAAACAAGGTTTGAAAAATATGTGTTTCAGATTTTCTTGCCAAGAATTAAATGGCTTAAAGTTTTTTGGTGGGTTTCGGTGGGGTACATTCAAAATAACCCAGAATAAAAAAAAATTCTTGAGAATTTCAAAACACAAAGTGAAAACTGTTTTAAACTTTTGTGAATTAATTTTTTTATGTCAATAAAAAAGTTGTTTCTAAAACTCATATCAATTTATAATTGAAGCCAAATGAATTAAAAAATTATTTTTTTAAATACAACTGATGTTTTATATTTATTTCATTCCTGGTTGTAAGTACACAAAGACACTTTATTGTACATGAATTATTACTTACTTAATAAACAATTTTTTAAATTTTCTTTCCTAAATGTCTTATTGGTTGTAGATTGATAGAAATCTACATAATAATTTCCCTTTTCTTAGCAAGAAAAAGTCTTCGGGATTTTTACGTTGTAATTAATGTATTTCATTATAAAAGATCATATATGACTGATTAATTTACTAATGGCAATCCCATTACAAGCAAAATAACAACATAATAATTATTTTTTTTAAATGATTTAAATTAAAAGAAAGTTTGTTTTGAAAATTGTAATCAGAATTATATAATATATTTATAATAAGGTTAGATAGAAAGATTTATGAGCATAAATTGAATAAAAATCTGTTAAAATGCACAGAACTAATAATTAAATGGTTCTTTATTACCTAGAAATGATGGTCATATCTAAGACCTCATTTGGCAAAAGCTTGACATATGGTATGGACACATGATTATTATTACAGGCCATTGACCTCTGGACATATGTCATATAAATGCAGGACAGGGATGCGAATATCACGTCGGCAGTTGCAATGACAATGGTATAGATTACTTGTATAAAGCTTTATATTTTAGAAGGTAGAAGACCTGGATACTTCATACTTTGTATACAGATGCCATATGTTCTGAAGTTTTGCAGTCATGTAGCAGTTGTTCTTGACCTCATTTTCAATGCTATGCAACTGACTAAAAAATATTTTGTTTTTTTATCACATAATTTTTTCAGTTATCATGAGTAATAGGACTATATCTGATAGTATATAATATAAGATTCGCTTGACCTTGACCTAATTTCTAAGATACTATAAGCAGTAGGTCAGCTTCATTTGGTGTAAAGAATGATTGTAAGGTGTACATGTCCATCATGCAGGATTCATATGACCTTTACCTCATTTTTATGGATCATGGATAATGTTAAGTTTACCTTGACCTTAGACTGATTGACTGATTTTTGTCGAGCCTTCGACTTTTGTCGAAAAAGCGAGACATAGAGATCCTACATTCCGTTGGTGTCGTCGTTGGCAGCATCCATAAATATTCACTCTGTGGTTAAAGTTTTTGAAATTTTAATAACTTTCTTAAACAATCCTGGATTTCTACCAAACTTGGACAGAAACTTGTTTATGATTATAAGATAATATTCAAAAGTAAATTTTGTAAAAAAAAATTCCATTTTTTCCGTATTTTACTTATAAATGGACTTAGTTTTTCTGCCAGTTAACATTACATTCACTCTGTGGTTAAAGTTTTTGAAATTTTAATAACTTTCTTAAACTATCCTGGATTTCTACCAAACTTGGAAAGAAGCTTGTTTATGATCATAAGATAGTATCCAGAAGTAAATTTTGTAAAAAAAAAATTCCATTTTTTCCGTATTTTACTTATAAATGGACTTAGTTTTTCTGCCAGTTAACATTACATTCACTCTGTGGTTAAAGTTTTTAAATTTTAACAATTTTCTTAAACTATCCTGGATTTCTACCATACTTGGAAAGCAGCTTGTTTATGATCATAAGATAGTATCCAGAAGTAAATTTTGTAAAAAAAAAAATTCCACTTTTTCTGTATTTTACTTATAAATGGACTTAGTTTTTCTGCTAGTTGACATTACATTCACTCTGTGGTTAAAGTTTTTAAAATTTTAACAACTTTCTTAAACTATCCTGGATTTGTACCAAACTTCGACAGAAGCTTTTTATGATTAAAATCTAGTATCTAGAAGGAAGTTTTGTTAAAAAATTTTTCCATTTTTTCCGTATTTTACTTTTAAATGGACTTAGTTTTTCTTCCAGTTAACATTACATACAGTCTGCAGTTTAAGTTTTTAAAACATTTATTAGATTCATAAACTATCCTGGATTTTTACCAAACTTGGACAGAAGCTACTTACAATCAAAAGATAGTATAGAGAGGAATATTTTTATTAATTTTTTTCCTCATTTTTGTTGAGCCTGCGATTAACAGCAAAAGTAGGCGAGACACTGGGTTCTGTGGAACCCTTACGAATTTTTGATGTATTAAAGCCACTTCCAGCACACTTGGCTTCATCAGGTGGCCAGTTTTTTTATTGCTGAAGGAAGGGTGGAGTACCCAGGGTGACCACATACCCTCTACAGAAAATCTGGCGATTTAATTGATTAAGATTTGAGTCAAATGTACCTTTAGAGTGGGGTTCAAACTGTCAACCTCAGTATTGAGTCTAGTGATCACTATAGATCGTTAATAAACCATAGGACCACCAAGTCCCTATTTGATAATAGGCACTTTGAACGTTAAATTCAACCATGATCAGTAAAGAGACACATCAACATGTGCACTTTTCCTTTATGCATTGATGAGTTGCACACTTTTGCATATACATGTAAACAACATGGTTTATTAAATCTTTTTTTCGTAATCAAAAGATTTTGTTCAATTTTTAACATCATTTTGACAATTAATTAATCATATTGCAAGACAGTTATTCAATTTCATGCAAATTTGACATGAGAAAGAACTTCTAAATGATAGATTGACGTCAGCTGCTGTTTAAGGTACACTGTGTCAATAAACTAATCATAGATACCATACCAGGATACAAATTTTGTATGCCAGATGCACGTTTTGTCTTCAAAAGACTCATCAGTGACGCTTGAATCAAAAAAGTTAAAAACACCAAATAAAGTACGAAGTCAAGAGGAGCATTGAGGATCCAAAATTCTGATAGGTTTTGCCAAATACAGTGGATTCATTTATTTTCGTGGGTACCAATTTTCGTGGATTAAGGAAAACTTACATGTTCGTGGATATTAATTTCGTGGTTTTGCCGAAGTCTGCATACAAGCCTAAAGGAAATTTGTTATTCATTGGACATTTAATTTCGTGGTTCACCTGTACCCACGAAATCCACGAAAAAATTGGTATCCAACGAATAATAACGAATCCACAGTACAGCTAAGGTCATCTATGCCTGGGGTAGAAAATCATTAGTATTTCGAAAAATTCAAATTTTTGTAAACAGTTAATATAAAGTTATCAAAGGTACCAGGATTATAATTTAATACGCCAGACGCGCGTTTCGTCTACATAAGACTCATCAGTGACGCTCAGATCAAAATAGTTATAAAGCCAAACAAGTACAAAGTTGAAGAGCATTGAGTACCCAAAATTCCAAAAAGTTGTGCCAAATACGGCTAAGGTAATCTATTCCTGGGATAAGAAAATCCTTAGTTTTGTCGAAAAATTCAAAGTTTTGTAACAGGAAATTTATAAAAATGACCATATTAATACATAATATATAATTATGACCATATGTCAAGTAAAACCATAGGTTACCATAAACTGGCGGCTACATCAAATTAAAGCTTTATATACTAGGTCATGATGAACATTCTTGTTTATGACAAGTTTCCTTATTAGGAAATTTTTTACAGAATGTTACCTCTGTGATTTAAACAAGCTTAATAGCATGCCTGTTTTAAGGAAAATAGTACAGCTAAAAAGCCCTCTTAGACATGAAATTATTCTTTATATGATAAATTGCAGTTCAGTTAAATTCTGAATGGATGTAATTAAAAATGTCTGATTAATTCCAGAAAATATAGTCTATTTGGAAACCCTTATACTAATTCTTATTTCATGGATGATGAAAAGAGATTCATATTTAGTTTATAGTCAATGAATTTAGAATAGATGTTTTTGAACACAAGGCCAAAAAATCAGTAAAATTGAATGCATTGACCATAGGATATTTTTATGGACATCTTCATTCATATTTTCAAATTGACCAGGAATCGCCAAAAAAGGATGTAAGTTATATTAATTGACTGCAAGTCAATTGAAGTGCAAATTGATTAATATTTTATTAAAAGCTGTCTGTGTGATTTGATAGTAGTTCCTAATAATTTAAAAGTTCAAAGAAAGATTAAATTCATTAAAACATACTAACAATTGAGCTGTGTTATAATAAAATCAAAAAGAAATCAGCTAAAATATATCTTTTTTCAAATAATAGGAAATGTTTCAAGGGAGAAAACTTTACATTTGAATTCTTATGTTAGACCTGAGTAATCTCCCATTTAAAAATTAGGTTATCTCATTGTGAATGCACTTTTTTGTTGTTGGTATTTTTTGTTTAAAATCAATTCTTTTGTGTAAGTCTGCCCACTTTTTTTTTGTGGTGAAAACCTGAAAAATATGGACATTTAATATTAAAAAAGTAATGCAATAACTTTTTTTAAAAACAACAATTAATATGTATTTAAAAATTAGTATCACACACTTATCTTATTATAAATGGTATGTGTTTTCAATTTACGTGAAAACAAAAGCAAGAGCTGATGATATAGTGAGTGCTATTCACATAATTTCTTTTTCACATGCACTACAATAAGTCAATTTGATCATTTTATGACTGAACTCATCTAACTAACAAATTTAAGTTAAGCACCATAACAGGACTGGCTTGTTTAAATCTTTGTCTAGCAGCTAAATAATTATATTTGCTTGATTTGATTGCTGTTTCTTTAATATTCGGAGGCAACTATTTAATGCAAGTTAAGGATAAAGTTAATTTTTATCAGTTAGGGTAATGGAAAAAAATTTTGTTGAAATTATTTATTTGATAGAAAAAATCAAGACTTCAACTTAAACAAAATCATAGATATCTTTTGTTTTTTCTGTTGTCTGTTTTTTTCTGTCTCATTGATGTGTATAGAAATAAGGAGATGTGGTATGAGTGCCAATGAGACAACTCTCCATCCAAGTCACAATGTGTAAAAAGTAAACAATTGTAGGCCTTCAACATGGAGCCTTGGCTCACACCGAACAGCAAGCTATAAAGGTCCCCAAAATAACTAGTGTAAAACAATTCAAACAGCAAAAACCAACGGTCTAATCTATATAAAAAACAAGAAACGTGTATCCCACATTTTCTAAATTTGAAAAGAAATAGGTAGTACAGGTTAAAGATTTGGAAAGAATAAACATATTCCCTTCTCAGATTAGATAGATAGTTTGACTTGATTAATACAGTAAAATACATTCAGTAGAATTATTGATATAATTACATTAAACAGGAGGTCTTCATATGCACAAACTACCACCTTGGTGGTCTGGTGGTAGAGTGCTGACCATGAGTGCTAGAGGTTTTGGGTTCAATCAACCAGCTGGGTCAAACCAAAGACTTAAAAATTAATTAGTTTCTGCTACTTTACTGCTAAGCATGTAGTATTTAGGAGTACGAACAAAGATTGGTTGGCTTGGAACAGGACTAATGTGTTAGGGTAGGGAGCCATGTCATCCTGTAGACTGTTATCTTGTTCACTAGCACAATTATAAAAATCAGGCTCAGGGTGTTGTTCTATTACAATGTATGGTTCATATTTACTTCAAGTTAACATGTTCTTCGTCCTGAATATTCATTTGATTTGCCACTGCACATTACAATGCATTAGACAGTCATCATTGCAGTGTTCTCCCCAGTATTTAGATATAACTGCATGGGTTTTGAAAATATCACTGTTTATCTAAAACTATAGAACTACATTTATAATTCATTCTATTATAAAATCTTTTTATATAGCACCATCTTAAAAAATATTGCACCATGGTACAATTTTGCTATAACTGGGGAATATACTGAGCATCATATACAGATGGTCATTTAGATAAGATTTGACTATATGAATAAAACATGATGTGAGAAATATGTGACGAGACAGTAAACAAACAACACAACTAATGGAAACAGATGATTGTTTTTTGTTGTATTACATATTAATAATCAAGTGCAAATTTGGGTATTTTGTCAATTTTAGTTACTTGTCATATAATTGATAAAAATTACAATTTTTATATTTATCGTTTTAGGAGAATTAAAGGACCCAAGTAAAGCCATTCCTAAAGGCACCCTGTCAGCTGTTAGTTTCACTTTTGCGACCTATTTTATTCTGATGGTATTGGTTGGTGCTTCTTGCGATAGGTATATTATATTGTTCCGAGAGAAATACAAAATTACAAAGTAAATTTAAAATTTGTTTTAGACTCGGCGGGATTTAAAGCTGGACACTTTTTGTATTGTTGGAGACCGCATGTTGACCTCTAAATGCTTTTTTAGCTTTTGTTATTTCCTTTTGAAGCCTTTTTTGTTGAATTATACAGTCGAACCTCGTTATGTCGAAGTCGAAGGGACTGGACAAAAGTATTCAACTTATCCGAGATTCTACTCATCCGAGATGGAGTGTGTCGTCATAAATTTTGAATTCACGAAATACAGTATAAGATTTGTGAAAACTAGATATTTTGAACAGTGTGCCTTTGTTTTGATATGACACTTTATGATTGTGTATTCAATCTCCATATTTTTTTTTTATCTCTCATAATAATTATACACACAAGTACAGATACAAAACATTCACAAATAAAATTAATACACAAACACAAATATTTACAGAGATCAGTCATTATAAATTATGAAATCACTCAAGGAGCAAAACAAGTTCTGAAAAATCTCTGATTAGGGTATCTGCTTTGCATTCAATTATTATGAATTTATCACAATTGTCTTTATCCTTTTATTTATTGTAATTAATGAATCTTAATTCTAATGATTCATTTAATCTCTGCTTTGGTCATTTAAATTCCTTTTGTTAGCTCACCTGGCCCAACGGGCCAAGTGAGCTTTTCTCATCACTTTGCATCAGTCGTCGTCCGTTAACTTTTACAAAAATCTTCTCCTCTGAAACTGCTTTGCCAAATTTAACCAAACTTGGCCACAATCATCATTGGGGTATCTAGTTTAAAAAATGTGTCCGGTGACCCGGCCAATCAACCAAGATGGCTGCCATGGCTAAAAATAGAACATAGGGGTAAAATGTTGATTTTGGCTAATATCTCTGAAACCAAAGCATTTAGAGCAAATCGAACACGGGGGTAAAATTGTTTATCAGGTCAAGATCTATCTGCCCTGAAATTTTCAGAGCAATCAGGCAACATGTTGTTGGGTTGCTGCCCCTGAATTGGTAATTTTAAGAAAATTTTGCAGCTTTTGGTTATTATCTTGAATATTATTATAGATAGAGATAAACTGTAAACAGCAATAATGTACAGCAAAGTAAGATCTACAAATAAGTCAAACATGACCAAAATTGTCAATTGACCACTTAAGGAGTTATTGCCCTTTATAGTCAATTTTGTAAATTTTTGTAAATTTTTACAAAATATTTTCCAATGTAACTACTGTGCCAAGTTCATTATAGATAGAGATAATTGTAAGCAGCAAGAATGTTCAGTAAAGTAAGATCTACAAACACATCACCATCACCAAAACACAATTTTGTCATGAATCCATCTGTGTCCTTTGTTTAATATGCACATAGACCAAGGTGAGCTACACAGGCTATTCAGAGCCTCTAGTTTTAATGTCTGGTGAAATATGTTCAACACACTTAAGTTTCTCTTGGACAACCAACAAAGGTGTTAATTACCGGTCACCATAAACATATCATTTTAACTGTTATACAAACAAGAATGTTTACACAGCTTTAATCTCTTTTGGAAATGATAAGTAACATAAGAAATACATCTGATTTAAATTTTTTCATTAAATCTGAATATTTCAAACTTCAAGACATAGGGGTCAATTTACATTAATTTTACATCAACAGGACTATAAAATTTACTCTGCCTTAACCGAGTTATTCAAATCAACCGAGTCAACTCATCAGAGATAAATATGCATTGATCAAACAGGAATTTTACCGGGACCGTGAAAATACTTCGACTCATCCGAGTTTTTGACTCAACGAGGTTCGACTGTACATCATATCTAAAATTATATTCAAATCTGTCTACAGCTGAAAAGAGAATTAATATGATTAAACAAAAAGGTTTATTAGTAAATATGACATTGATTTGAAAATCTTGAAAGGTTATAATTCTATCAAATAACATCCTCCAGATGTTTATAAGATATTAACATGATTAATCTGTCAGATGTCAGTAATAACATATTTGAATTTTGTCTCTTATTTGAATTTTGTCTCACATATTTGCATTAGTCCTTTAAATCTCTTTCAATATTTAAGGATAAGCTGGAAAAAGTGTTGAATCTGGCACATTTTGTGATGATCTTATTAGTATTTTATCAAGCAATAGTCTAAACCCTATAAGATGTTTTACCAAAAATTCTCATTTACAATGATGTTGATGCAAGGTAAATGTCATTTGAAGTAAGGCTATTTAAAAGAGCCGTTTTTTGGAGTGAAAAAAAACCAAAAGTGACATGTGCATGACATCAAGATTGATATAATCATGTGTAAATAACCAGATTTTATCTTATTCATTCATAAATTAAAAACTATTAGAAGAAACCTAAGAAGCAATAAAAACTGTAATTATAAGAAAAAACAAACAACACCACAGCCAGAAGAAAATTAACAAAAAGACAAAACAACAGTCCACAAAAGTAAAGATTGACCAACATAACTCTAACCAAAAGCCAAGGTTGAACTCAAGTGATCTTGAAAGGTCATCATTCCTACTCCTGAAAGGACAACTTTGCTTATGTATCACTCTTTTTTTAATACTGTAGAGAGTAAATCAAGTGTTTACACATTATATAATAATGAGTTTGTGAAAGTCTTTTGTCTAACATTTAGACATCAGCAACTTTATAAACTATCATAATAAGTAATTTTTGTTCGAATAACAACTAACAAGAAATGTTTATGTCTTATTTTCAGGTGTCTTCTGCTGAATGATTATCTGTTTCTACAGTCCATTAACCTGTGGAGTCCATTTATCCTGATAGGTATATTTGCAGCCACCCTGTCTGCAGCGTTAGGAAATCTGATTGGAGCATCTAGAATCTTACAGGCATTAGCTAATGATGAATTATTTTGTAAGTGCAGATTATTGTAAAGTGGTTTATTTTTGTGACAACATGATTTATGAAAAAAAAATAAATAAAAACAAATACATTTTTGTATGACAGACAGCTACCAACAATTACCACTGAATTACAGGCTCCTGACTTGAGACAGACACATAAAGGATGTAGCAGGGTTAAACATGTTTGTGAGCGCTCAAACCTCTTACTAACCAGGTACAATATTGTGTAACAGCACAACATAAGAAGATACTGTAAAAATCAATTTGATATGGCTTGACTCGCCAAATTGGTAGAAAGCACAAAATCAACTACGGTACTGTGAATTCCTTTCTTTTAGTACCAATTTTGGTGTATTGAGCAAAAGATGTATTTTCTATGATATTATATTTCGTAGTTTTGCTGAGGTCTGCATACAAGCCGATTGAAAATTTGTGGTTCACAGATACCCAAGAAATTGACAAATTGGTATCAGGCAAATGATAATGAATACACAGAAACATAAAGACTAAAGACACAAAATACCTATCTAAACTTACTAGCAGACACTGAAAGCTAGTTCTAAGCCGATTACAACTAATAAATAAGTCACACTTTGATTATTATGTCATTCATATATCTGAGATTTTCAGCCTTTAAATGAAAAAATATATTTTTGCAGGGTTTGTTTTAAGGCCTGCCACAAAGGTTACTAGGGGAGGTAATCCATACATTGCTGTGTTGATTTCCTGGTTTCTTGTTCAGGTAACAAATTTGTGATACCTCGTTCATTATTAGCTTGGGAAAATCATATGTTGCAGAGAGGTTTCATTATCATTTTTGATTAACATATTTTGGTTTTTAATAGAAAAATTAAGTTTTGTTATTTATAATTTAACATAAAGAAGCATTCATTTTTCACCTTATTTCATCTTGTTATTTTCATGACATAAGTATTTGTGCCCAGAGGTTTTGTATATATTATTTAACTGTCAAATATAAGTAACTACTTCCATTTTACAGTTTATTTTGTTGAATAATCTATACAATTATATTGTCATTTATCCAGGCAGTGAAGGGACACAAAAATACTTTGAGTCAGTCCTTGTGAGCTTCACTCTGTATGGTCATTTTTATGGTTCATTAGTCAATGTACAGTTTTCGTAATTAGTTCTGTTTCTCGTATGGTATTAGTAATAGGCTAACTTTATTTGGTGTATGGAATGATTGTAAGCAGACCTCTGACCTGACATGACCATGACCACATTTGCATGGATCATTGATAATGTAAAGTTAATGTGATACTTGCAGTAAAACCTTTATATTACAGACTTTCAACATAAGGTCAACCACAATAAATTACTGTAAATTCAGAAATTAATGTGTGCATTTATTATTGCGATTTTGGATGAATGGACATCACTGCGAGTTTAATTATTGCGATTTCAGGAAAATCTGCGTACAGATATATGTATCGAATTCAGAATGTGAGTTCTTATAATTGCAATACTCACACAGTCGCATTATTCGCATTTATAAAAATCTCGCAATCATTTCTGAATCTACAGTAAGCAGACAAGACATTTCAGCATGTGCAGTCTTGTTTTTCACTGTCACACAAATGTGGATGGGTAACTTTAGGGGCTACAGCATATGGCAAACATGTGGATGGGTAACTTTAGGGGCTACAGCATATGGCAAACATGTGGATGGGTAACTTTAGGGGCTACAGTATATGGCAAACAAATATATACTTGTTTCCTACCTCCTGGCAGAGAAAATAAGGCAGGTAGGAAGGGGAGATAATATTTTATACATAGACTTTGTACAGAAATGTTCAGGACTAAATTGACAGTACTTTACTAAAAATGTCTGGACTTGGAACTGTGTTGAACCAAAAATTTCCATGAAATGTTTAAGTGTAGGCATAAAAAATTAAGGTATGTACCAGGTATGCAAGAAACTGAATGATTTTTATGACCCTATACACTGTGTTTAAAAATGCCTATGAAATTTGATCTGATCAGCCACATAGTTGTACTTTTCAACTCTTGTTCCTAGAGTCAGTCAAGGGTAATACTTATACAAATGTCTTTATATTAACTGCTAAGAGTTATAAATTTTAAAGGTAGAGTTGTTTCCCTTAGACTTCCAGATTTTGTTTGTTATATATTCAAGATATGAGTAGAAAATTCATATTTACTTCTTTTCTTGCATTTCTCTTAACTACATTGCTCTTATAGAGTGTTTAATTGTCTGTCTATAGTAGTTGTCTTTAATATTCTTTAAAGTGTAATTTCATGGAAAATAAAAATCCCATTTGTCTGTTGTTTACAAAATACTTCCTATTTACAATCCTCAAGGGGGGGGGGCCTCGGTGGCCGAGTGGTCTAAGTAGTTACTACTGTAATCACTAGCCAGTCAACATTGAGGTTGTGAGTTCGAACCCCGATCGTGCGGGTGCACTCGACTCCAATCTCAATTGACTAGGATTGTCAGTTTTCCTATCGAAGGTCGGTGGTTTTCTCCGGGCACTCCGGCTTCCTCCACCAATAAAAACTGGCCGCCATGAAATAGCCCAAAAGCGGTGCTTAAAAGTTGCATTAAAACACCAAAAAATCAAATCAAATCAATCCTCAAGGGAGCAATTTGTGACGGCCTTGCACAGTTACTTAACATCTGTCATTTGATGCATTTCTTTAAGTCTTGAAATAAAAGGTTGCATTCTAATTAAAAAAATACTATAAGCAAACAAGAAAAGAATGTTTTAACCTCCCAAAACTTAATAAATTCAGGGGTTAAAAAAAATATTACTTGTTTAGGTAAATTTTTCTAGAAGCATTAAGGGGAGATTATTCAAAACAAGTAAATACACAAATTAATTTAAACAAGTAAATATTACTTACATCTTCAAGTATATAAAAATGACTTGTATAAGAATTTCCGCTGATTGACACTAGGATTGAACAATTTTCTATTTTCTGTAAGAATTGATTGACAGATTATCTGTTGATGTTAATTTCATCAAAAACACCTGTCATTTAAACAGACGTGGGATGTGAGTGAATACAACAGCAACCCAATAACACAAAACAACAAAAGACATCTAGAATGCAATATATTGTCTTCAACAATTAATACAACAGAAACGTATCCAGAGACTATCCAAGATTTGTACTCCAAAACCAAATTACATAAATGACCAAAAACAAAAAATATCACAATAGTCAACCAATGACAAAGTTTCTGACTTTGGACAGGTTTAACTAGTTTTAAGAGATCTCAAACTATCCAACTTTTTAATCTCAATCAGTTAAATACAGTGTAATAACAAAAGGTAGATAAAAGAACAAACAAGAAATTTCTATACAGAAAAAGCAGTTAAATCTATAAAATAGGTACTTTTTTATCACATACTTTCCTGGCTTCTAGATGTCTTTTCTGGTTTTATTATGCCCCAACCTCTATATATATATGCGAAGGGGGTATTAAGTTTTATCCTTGTCTGAAGGTATGTCAGTTTGTCTGTATGTCCGTATGTCCATCTGTGCGTCCTTATGAACATCTTAAAATTGGTTTCAGTTCTCTTACTTTAGTTTGCCTCAACCAAATGTTATAAAACTTGTACACAATACTTTTTACCACCAAACATAGATCAAGTTCCTATTTGGGTTGCGTCACTTTCACCATTCTAGTGTCATGTATGTCCTTTTATAAATGGAAAAATTGCTGAATTTGCCGTTACCACGCTCTAACGTTAATGTTATTGTCAAATGCTACGAAACTTATACACAATGCTTGTAAGCACCTAACACTGATCAAATTAAATTTGGTGGGTCATTGTGTCTGTTCTCGAGTTATGTCCCTTTATAAATGGAAAAAATGCTGAATTTTCAATATATTTACAATGTCCCATTTGACACATTCTTCTTTTCTTATGCTAAGGGTTGCGGTCTCATTGAATAGTTATATACCAAATATCTCTTTTATTCATATGTACATGAAAGATTTTTTTTTGTGCATATAAACAACTTTCAATAAAAAAAACTAAGTAAAACCAAAATTTTACAATACCATTCAACACTGATTTGTTAGTTAATTATCCACAAAAAATGTATCCAGATGAAGCCTTAACATTGAAATTTTTAACTCACAAACAAAATGTTTCAATAATTTCTTTTAAAAAAATATTAAAATTAAGTGTCTTCAAAACTTTTATTTTGATAATCAATGCTTTATGTAAAAACATTGAGTGTTCCTGATGAAGGTAAATCCTGGAAAAAGCTTATTTATTAAGTCTATTGTTTCAAGATAAAAAGAGTTTCAAGATGATGAAAATACATGTAAGAAGGTGAGATAGAATTATTTTTATCGAGCTTTTTGTATCAAGCATTGACTTTACACCCCATATAGGCCAAAAATAGAGATTTTTGTGAAAGTTGACAAAATCGCCCTGATTTCAACCACAATTCAGTTTTGGAAACAGAGGGTTCAACACACTTAATATTTTAGGTAAATGTGTATATTGATATAACAAACATGATGCCAAAAGATCTTTTTTGTTGATGTCTGGGCTGTATGTTCCTTGTTCTAAAAACTAATAGAAATGACCTATTTTCGTTGAATTTCGAGGAATATCAAAAGTTGTGCTATTTGTGACATCATGAAAATAACACTGATTCGTAAATTTTCAACAGAGAGACATAATAAAATTCCTATCTAATCATTGTCTTAGTTATGATTAATTATGATATCGGTCAATAAATCTGTATTTGAAGTTTTAGCTAGAAATAGGGGGTCATATTGGGGTCTTATTGAACCTACTTATTTATAAAGTGTTATTTTTATTATACCCCCTCTTTAAAAAAGGGGGGTATACTGTTTTACCTCTGTCTGTCCTTCCGTCAGTCCGTCCGTCAGTCCGTCCATTTGTCTGTCCCATGAATATTTTCGTCGCATTTTTCTCAGGAACTACTTGATAAAGATTTATCATGTTTATGAAATTTGGTTTCAGGGTTTATATCAGTAAGTTACACCGTTTCATCACTCAACAACTTCCTATTTACCAAACACTTGTATTATTTTACACATGATAGCCAAGTTAAAAATTTTCGTCACATTTTTCTCAGGAACTACTTGACAAGGATTTCTGAAATTTGGTTTCAGGGTTTATATAAGTAAGTTACACTGTGTGATGCGTTTTCAGATTCATCACTCAACAACTTCCTGTTTACCGAAATATTACGGCGGGGGTATCTTCAGTTAGTAGTAGCTCACAGTTTTACTTGTTATTTCTATTTCAGATAGTATTGTTAGTGGGATCACTGAATGCCATTGCTCCTGCAGCCTCTGTGTTCTTCCTTCTGTCCTATGCCTCTGTCAATCTGGCATGTTTGGCATTAGAGTTGGCATCAGCTCCAAACTTTAGGTACCTATATCAAAATAGATTATTGTAAATTCTGAGATTATGGAATTTTATAAAAATGGGTTCCTGGAACAGGAGAAATCTGTAAATAATTCAAATTCAAACTCAAGTTTTTGCTTGTAAAGATAAAATTCTATGACAACATGATTAGGAAAAATGGTGCTTTTGACAAGGAAGCTACCACATCCTGATGTCATAAAAAAATAAGTTATCAATCACAGGTTTTGAAATAACATTTTATTGAGAAGACAATTTAAACCATTATGTGGTTAAAATAAATTTTAGCTGCTTGGCTGAGCCTTGTATAAAAGTGCCTATCAGAATTTAATGCATGCATCATTTTAAATATTTTACCACAAATAATAAAGTGCTAAATCAATGCATTTCTTGTACTTGTTTTGATGTAATGTGGATTCTTTACGTTTCCTGGAAATTCATAGTTTACCTTTGCCTTGACAATTTAGTACAGAAAGGTCACTTGTGATGTTGAAATTGACATATATTTTACCTGAAATGGCCATTTTACACATAGGTTTTGGACAAAATAAATATAAGCCAAGGTCTGACTCAAAAATATATTTTACACACATAAACCTCTTTGTAACTTACATCTTGTAGTAAAATATTTTTTTACCCATGAAATCAGTGAAAATTGATATACCACATATAGCAATGAATCTGCTTAAAACACTTAAGATAATTCTAACTTATTTTTCAGGCCAACATTCAACATATTTACCTGGCATACCTGTGTTCTAGGGATGATTGGATCAGTCGTGATGTGTTTTTTAATCAGCCCTATATACAGTTCTATAGCAGTTATTATAATGCTGTTATTGGTTATTTTGCTGCACTTTAAATCAGTTCCATCAGAATGGGGCTCTATAAGCCAGGCTTTGATCTTCCATCAGGTAAGTTTATACATTTTTCTGATGTTTTCAATATTTTTGAAGGCATTTTAAATTTCGATAGTATTAAATGTATGCAGCGTTTCCTGAAATCTCAATAATAAATCGAGAACTTTTGTCAATTGTTTAACATTTACAATAAAGATGCATTTAGAAAATTATGAATTTACAGTATACAGAAGAAAAGGGCATATGCAGATATGTTGACATCAAGTCGCAAATAATTTCATGCATATTCAGGGGAAGAAAAAAAGAACATACCTGTAATTTATATCTTTTTTGAGTTATCTCCCTTTTAATTATTCAATCTATGATTTTTTTCAGGTGAGGAAGTATTTACTAATGTTAGATCCGAGGAAAGCCCATATAAAATATTGGAGACCACAAATATTGTTAATGGTAGCCCATCCAAGACAGGCCTGTGAACTTATTCATTTCATCAATGATATAAAAAAGGGAGGGCTATTTATTATAGGCCATGTTAAAATTGGGTCATTGGATAAATTTGATTATGACCCAGTTCAGATGGAATATCCACAGTGGATGAGTCTGATTGATAAACTTAAAGTTAAAGCCTTTGCTGAATTGACATTGGGTAATACTGTTTCAGAAGGTCTAGCACATTTGATCAGACTTTCTGGTCTAGGTGGAATGAAACCAAATACTGTGTGCCTAGGATTTTATGATGATTCAAAACCTGTTGATTCTTTAGTAAAATGTATGAGGAGAAAAAGACGATTCTTTTCATCGGAAGGAATTGATGGATCAAATGATGTAGACATGATGTTTGATAACCTTCCAATCAGAAGTGAGAGAAGTCACAAGCACCAGAGTCCTTCAGATTACGTGAAGATGATATACGATTCATTAAAATTACAGAAAAACGTCTGTATATGTAGACATTTTAACCAGCTTGATAAATCTATGATTTTAAAGTCAACCACTGAATATTATATTGATGTATGGCCTTTGAACTTATTCAGACCGTACACAGCTAGTATTTTCGATGACACATGTTTATTCATGCTTCAGCTAGCATGTATACTTGACATGGTTCCAGGATGGAAATCGAAAACATATCTTAGGGTCATGCTGTGTACCAATAATGAAGGCGTTGCAGGTAAAAATGTGGAAACAAAACTAGACAAGGTTTTGAAAACCTTCCGCATTCCAGCAAAAATCCAGCCAATTTCCTTAGACCTAGGAGAATCTTACAAAGACTTATCTGAAGATGAAGACCACCAAATGACTCTATATAAATCAATACCAGAACCTATAGTTCAGAAAATAAACACTAGGATAAAAGAATGTTCCAAAAAGACTGCAGTGACCTTTATGTACTTACCAAGACCACCTCAGGATACGACTGGCCAGCTTGAATATCTCCTCAGCCTTACTGCACTAACCAATGATCTACCTCCCACAGTGCTTGTTCATGGATTAAATCCAGTTATATCAACAACACTTTAATAGTTAACTATGAACAGAGAAAACATTGTGATATTTAAAAATGCCTTATTGTATAGTTTGTAAAAGGAACAAAATTATGTAAATGCAATGTGATTTTAATTGAACAGGTCTATTGTGTGTTCCATACCTGCTAATGAACCAGTTCTAGGAAGGAGACTCCTTCTTTTTCATTAATCTTTTTATGCCCCCGCCGTAGCGGAGGGGGCATTAAGTTTTACCTATGTCTGTCTGTACGTCCGTCCGTCCGTCCGTCCATCCGTCCGTACGTACGTCCCAAAATTGGTTTCTGTTCTCTAACTTTAGTTTGCCTCAACCAAATGTTTTGAAACTTATACACAATGTTTATTACCACAAAACACAGATCAAGTGTGAATTTTGGTGGCGTCACTTTTACCGTTCTAGAGTTATGTCCCTTTACAGATGGAAAAATTGCTGAATTTTTCTTTTCCGTTCTCTAACTTCAGTTTGCCTCAACCAAATGTTATGAAAATTATAAACAATAGTTATTACCACAAAACTCAGATCAAGTACAAAATTGGGTAGCATCACTTTTATTTTAAGTCATTCGTTTTCGACCTATCACCTACAAGGGAGGTCAAAACCTTTGACAAATAATCCCCCTATTTTCCCCCCTTTCATTATTTGAGTAGTTTTCATAATATTGTCTGTGATTGATTTGGGTTGTATTGCAAAAACAATTGTTATTTGCACAGTAAGAAGACACCCAATCCATCAAGGATGTTGTTTTTACTGATTTAGTCTATGTATAGATAATTTTATTTTATCATTTTGTGCTTAAATATTAAAATTCTATATACATGAAGTATGTAGATAAAATAAAGTTAGTAAAAAAATGTTGCAACACATAATCTCCCCTTTTAGTAGAGCTGGAAGCTTTTTGTGGTTTTGGCAACAACTAAAGAAGATAGAGAAACTGTACACAGAAAAAATTATCAGAAATATAAGATCAACACTTAAAAGATTTTTGTCATGAATTCTATTCTAGTCCAGATTGTTCAAGATACACAGAGACCTAGGTGAGCGACACATTAACAGTTTTGTAGGATTAAAAGATAATGACAGAAGCATAAATTGAAAATATTTTTTTTGCTTTTCCCTTTTTTACTATTTAAGGAACATTGTTTTATTGTGAACTTATAAACATTTTCATACAGTATGAGATTAAAATTTTCAGGCATCAATGACTTTGTTAAATCTTCATGAAATGTTATGAAAATTGGAAGGAAGATTCTTCAAGATCAAGAAAAAGCATCTTAAAAAAAGTTTTATTTTTAATTTTTCCCTTTTTTCATTAATTAATGGATTTAAATTTTGACAGTCAACATCACATTTTTACACTGACAGTAGCAATCGCAAGTGAGACACGGTTCCCCAGTACCCTTTAGGATATTTTATTAGTGTAGTTAATACTAGTATGAAAAATCCTGTTTCCTTAGGCAATTTAATGAACAAATTTTTCTAACAAGTTTCATTTTGTTTAAATTATTTTGAATGTTGATTAATGAAACACTACTATTACTGATAAGAGGGATCTATGTAAGTTTGTTTTGCATGTATATTATTAGGTAATTTATAGAATACTAGTTTGTGACATCTTTCCTCTAATCAAACAGAAACTGGGGATACCTAGGATCATGAAAAAACAAAAACCAAACAACATCATGGATCCCATGAAAACTTTCCTTCTGTAGACATCCTGATTTTTCTTAGTTACTTTACTTTATTGGACCAAAACACTGTGAAATTCTTATGGCAAGTTTAAAGGCAAAAAGTAAACACTGATGTTCAGTAGTTGTCATTTGTTGATGTGGTTCATAAGTGTTTCTCGTTTCTCGTTTTTTATATAGATTAGACTGTTGGTTTACCCGTTTGAATGGTTTTACACTAGTAATTTTTGGGGCCCTTTATAGCTTACTGTTCGGTGTGAGTCAAGGCTCCGTGTTGAAGACCGTACTTTGACCTATAATTGTTTACTTTTTTAAATTTTGACTTGGATGGAGAGTTGTCTCATTGGCACTCATACCACATCTTCTTATATCTACTCATTTTATTTTGGGTATTGAAGCTTTTTTTGTGAAAAAAGGCCAAGGGCAATAAAAAAAACAATAGTGCAATGTACTTTTTGATGATTTTTCAAACATATATATCTATCTGGGTTAAATATGATTGCAGTCTTCATGCTCGGACACAAGCCCATCAGCCCACGCTGGTTAAATATCGCTTATAAGAATTTATTCAACCTTTCCAAACTAAAAAACAATTCAAGGAACAGATTTATTTTTAATAATACATTTCTACAACTTGCCAAAGGAAAATTGTTAAGGCAAAATTACCATTCCAAAAATTTTATAATATAAAAATAACGAGATGTGGTATGATTGACAATATAGTATTCAAATTATTATTTTGTTCAAACTCATAGGGAGCTAAATACAGCATTGCCATCACTTGCATTTGATAAACAGGTTCCACTTTGAATTGTTAATTTGCATGCTTTGATGATATTATACAATGCCTTGTTTAATCCTAATATAAGTCTGTCTCCATCACTTTTTATCGAATTGGTTTTGACCTTTGATAAGGAATACAATTAATGGAATAGATAAATATATGTATACAATTAATTTTTTTATTATTATTATTATTATTTACTGCCTGAGCTATTAATGCTATTATAGAAAATGTTCGATTTATTAAAAATCTATATTCAATAACTACTATGTACAATGTATGTGCATATTGTCTGTAAACCTTTCTCAAATGTAAAATACAATTATACTGCCAATAGACACTCTGTCTCAAGTGATTTGTAAACTTCCACCCATCCTCAAGTCCTATAGCACAGTAAACCTTCTCAAAGGCATTTAAGTGTAATAATGGGCATGTATTGCCTTGAAAATTTGTCTGGGATCAGGATGGTGCAATATTACATTGCAGATCTTCAAATCATAATTTGAAAGTGATATGTAAACACTTCAAAAAATGAATTTGTTTATTATTTGAAACGACATTTCAATTAGTATGATGATATATATATATTTTTCTAACATTGTTAGGTCAACAAAATTTGTTAGATCAACAACAGTATTCAGGGATGTACACCCAGTGCTTAAATAAGTTTTCAGGAAACCGATCATTCCTTCACATATTTGCATGTTTAAAAAAATATATACTGTTTGAACACTTATTTTGTGAAGGAGTTGTGTCAAAATGTTTAAATTTATGCATTTCAGATTTATAAAATAGTGTAAAAGTTACACCTTTCGAAAACAACATTCAAATGCATAAAAAGTCTATAGGCTTGTAGAAATTTAAAGATACTTTAGCAGTAGTAGACAAAGCCATACTCAAAATACATTTTACATGTTTATACATCTACTGTGCAATGTATACTGTATGTTTCTTTTTGGTGCAATATATTTCAATTTTTACTATTGAAATAAATTTTTAATTTCATATGTTATTTAAAAAAAGCCTTATCATGAACTATTTGTTTGTTTTTAAGCCATTTCAAAATTAGTTGTCTTTTTCTTTACAATTTGCAGTAGAATGTCATCGATGTATCCATGTGCATTTCTATTTTTTATACGCCCGTTTACGGGACATATTATGGTATACCCTTGACCGTCTGTCCGTCCGTCTGTCTGTCCTTCCGTCGTCAACATGTCGGATATTAATTCAAAAACGCTTAAACTAATATCCATGAAACTTTGGTGAATTGTTTATATCTATTGACGTGAGCTCCCTTTCGTTTTTTATAAATTTCAGATTTATCATTTCCGAGTTTTGGGATTTTATTCATTAAAAAAGGGGGGATTTTCCAGTTTTCGGAAATAACTCAAAAACAATTTCACCAATTTGCATGAAACTTTTGTGAATTGTTCATAATTATTGACGTGAGCTCCCTTTCGTTTTTTATAAATTTTGGATTTACCGTTTCCGAGTTTTGGAGTTTTATTCATTAAAAAAGGGGGGATTTTCCAGTTTTCGGACAATAACTAAAAAATATTTCACCAATTTGCAAGAAACTTTTGTTAATTGTTCATATCTATTGACATGAGCTCCTTTTTGTTTGTTATAAATTTCTGATTTACCGTTTCAGAGTTTTGGGGATTTTCCAGTTTTCAGACAATAACTCAAAAACAATTTCACCAATTTGCAAGAAATTTTGGTGAATTGTTTATTTCTATCGACAAGAGCTCCCTTTTGATTTTTGGAAAATGACGCTATCAGCGGCATGTTTCCGATACCATTGACCAGAACTTACGGAAGTCGATTATTGCCTCTGCCTACCGCACTCGGTTTCATATTTACTATTTTACATACTAACTGGAATCTGCTTGTATAACGCTACACTCGAACAAAGTGTTGTAGTCGGACGGGAACCAGTTCACATACTTTATTTTATTTACCAAAATGATATCTTGACCTGTCCAATTGTTTTTTGTTATTAAATGGTATTTGGAGCTATCCCTTTGTAATATTTTTCATATTTATTCGAGCTTTCACTTTTATGCACATGTCTTACAATCGTAAACAATCGGTATGTATACATGATAAATAGATCCGTTTTGTTATGGTGTTGGACTTTTTACCCTCCAATGATCAGCAATCGCTAGACAAAATGTCCTAAATAATGTCAGCCTTTCATGCCATTTCAACTTTACAATCATTAAAAAAAGTGAAAATCGGAATCATTTTGATATCCATTGGATAGAAACTGGTCTTTATCCAGATTTACGAAGATTTTAAAAATCGGAAATTAGTAATACGGTTATACCGACGCGTAGCCTGGGATCCTGGCTCACTGCTCGACAGTAGCCTATCGACGAAGTATTAGATTGGGTCAGGATGCCAGGCTATACCCACGCGGTGCGTATGAATCTTTGTTTACAAAACAGGATTTCGGAACGTCTCTAGTTTTTAGATCGTAAGTCACGATAAACTCAAACTGAAAGTAAACAGTTGTTTGTAAGACGCAGGTTTACTCACCAAAAACAAGCTGAAACGTTCATTATGGCATATATTTTAGGTTAAAGACGGTCCCATTCATTTAAAAAGCATTTTGAAAGTAGACGATGAGATTATTTCAGGTTTGGGGAACGAGTAAATTATCACAAAGTTCATTTCATGACGACCTCATAATTTCATCATGTCGATGGTACAAATCGATTTTTATACGACCGCAAAAATTAAAAATTTTTTGGTCGTATATTGGTATGACGTTGGCGTCGTCGTCGTCGTCGTCGTCGTCGTCGTCGTCGTCGTCGTCTGGCATCGTCCGGCCTGTCCGAAGACACATTGGTTTTCGCACTCTAACTTTAGTTTAAGTAAATGGATCTCCATGAAATTTTATCATAAGGTTCAATACCACGAAAGGAAGGTTGGGATTGATTTTTGGGGGTTATGGTACCAACAGTTAAGGAATTAGGGGCCAAAAATAAGCATTTTTGTAACTTCCAGACAATAACTTGTGTGTAAGTGTATGGATCTCTCTGACATTGTACCACAAGGTTCCATAACACAAAGGGAAGGCTGTAATTGATTGTTGGGGTAATTGCCTTAAAATTTTAGGAATTAGGGGCCAAAAAAGGGGCAAAAAACAAGCATTTTTCTAGTTTCATGACAAAAACTTGTGTGTAAGTGTTTGGATATTTCTGAAATTGTACTACAAGGTTCCATATCACAAAGGGAAAGCTGGAATTGAGTTTGGGGGTAATTGACCGAAACGTTTAGGAATTGGGGGCCAAAAAGGGGCCAAAAATAAGCATTTTTCTAGTTTCCAGACAATAACTTGTGTTCAATTGTATGGGTCTCTCTGAAATTGTACTGCAAGGTACCATACCACAAAGGGAAGGCTGGGATTGAGTTTGGGGGTGATGAATCATAAGGGGGTTCAAAAAATTGGGGGGGGGGGGATTTTTTTTTTTTCTTTTTTTCCCTTTTTTTTTTCTTTTAAAATTTTCCATTTTAAGTTGGTTATTTCTGATTAATATTTAAAAGCAAATAATAATGATATGGTAGGAGATACACACCAAACAGGATGTGTAAATTATTATATAATAAGTATTGTGCAATAGCAAGAAATTTTCAATTGCACAGTATTGCACAATAGCAAGAAATCTTCAATTGCACAGTATTGCGCAATAGCAAGAAATCTTCAATTGCACAGTATTGCGCAATAGCAAGAAATATCCAATAGCACAATATTGCGCAATAACAAGAAATTGTCAATTGTACAGTATTGCGCAATAGCAAGAAATATTCAATTGCACAGTATTGTGCAAAAGAAGATACTTCGTATAAATTGCTTATTTCTTGATCAATTTCAATGGGGTTTTATTCTTGAATTCTTGGGGTTTTTTAATATGCTGAATCTAACCGTGTATTAAGTTTTTGGATTTTGGGCCCCGTTTTTAAATTGGTCCACATTGAGGTCCAAAGGGTCCAAAATTTAACTTTGTTTGATTTCATCAAAAATTGAATTATTGGGGTTCTTTGATATGCCGAATCTAACCGTGTATTTAGATTCTTAATTTTTGGTTCCGTTTTCAAATTGGTCTACATAAAGGTCCAAAGGGTCCAAAATTAAACAAAGTTTGATTTTAACAAAAATTGAATTTTTAGGGTTCTTTGATATGCTGAATCTAAACATGTATTTAGATTTTTGATTATGGGCCCAGTTTTCAAGTTGGTCCAAATCGGGGTCCAAAATTAAACTTTGTTTGATTTCAACAAAAATTGAATATATGGGGTTCTTTGATATGCTGAATCTAACCATGTATTTATACTTTTGATTTTTGGGCCCCGTTATCAACTTTGTCCACATTGAGATCAAAAGAGTCCAAAATTAAACTTTGTTTGATTTCATCAAAAATTGAATTCTTGGGGTTCTTTGAGATGCTGAATCTAACCATGTATTTAGATTTTGGATATAAGACCATAATAGGTGAATGTCCAATTTAAAATTTTTAAGTTTTTAGACCACATTCATTCTGTGTCAGAAACCTATGCTGTGTCAAATATTTAATCACAATCCAAATTCAGAGCTGTATCAAGCTTGAATGTTGTGTCCATACTTGCCCCAACTGTTCAGGGTTCGACCTCTGCGGTCGTATCAAGCTGCGCCCTGCGGAGCATTTTATTACTGTTTACTGTCGCTTCTCATGATTTGTATTTAAACGGTCATTTATTTTTAAACCCGAACCAGGCATATGCATTCTGTAATTTTGCAAATCTTCGTTCTTTGGTCAATTGGCTTATGGATAGTTGTATCAATTTCAACTCTTACATTATTTTTTTATAAATATATTTGCATTACACATGCAATGGCAGTACCTTTCCAATAACTATTTATGTGTTGTGTCTAAATTAAAGTTGTAACACTTTATAGTGACTGGAAAGGGTAGAAAAAATCATCAGATGAGAAAAGGCTGAAGATACTTCAAGCGGCACCGAATCATTAGATATTGCATCTTATAAAAGAAACTGAGATTTGGATAGTTCCACTTCAAGGTAAAAATGTTTATCTCTTGTGAAATGAAATAAAAAAAAATATTGTAACACTGTAGTTAATTAATAAAGATACTATTACGTGTATTTCTGTATTGGCCTTATTATTGGTTCTCGGCCAGCAGTCAAACGGCACCGAATCATTAGATATTGCATCTTATAAAAGGAAACTGAGATTTGAATAGTTCCACTTCAAGGTAAAAATGTTTATCTCTTGTGAAATGAAATAAAAAAAATATTGTAACACTGTAGTTAATTAATAAAGATACTATTACGTGTATTTCTGTATTGGCCTTATTATTGGTCCTCGGCCAGCAGTATTGGCCTTCCGCTTCGCCTCAGACCAATACACCCAAGACATGGACCAATAACAAGGCCAATACAGAAATACTTGCACAATGATATTATAGAATGACAGTATAGTTCAATAGCGGGAATAGTGCTGTAGTTCCAGTTCAGCAAGCATTCTAGAGACGTATCCCGTCCATCCTCTTTTGACTTGTAATCTCTGGTGATAGATTTTGCCGCATGACATTGTCATGATCCTTTCAAGCTTGTTTTTTTTTGTTACCGTGTAGGGGTCACATACTATGGCTCCATATTAAATTATAAGATCCATTCCTAAAGATCTAGATCATTGTTCTAATCTGACACAAATTTCAATAACTGGAATGCTACCGAAGTTGAATATATGGTGACCCACGAGAACAGCATTATCACTATTGAAATTGTGTTTAATACCATGATTGTTCAATGTCATTAACTTAAATGGAGACAGACATTTGACCTGAAAGACATGAAAGGTGGTGTGGGAGTGCAAAATCAAAAACTAACTGACTATGATATATGGTTAAAGAATGAATATCAATTACATGGGTCAACATGGTCAAGGGCAGAGTTGTTATAAAATAACAATATGGCAGAGAAGTGGTTTCAAGTTTCATATAAAGCGACCTGACTGACATGAAATAAAA